AAAATAGCTCAGGTGCTCTTCCTACACAGGGTCTTTCCTGATTCATCCTCCCTCCAACTGTTAATATTTTCTCACTCTTGAAATTATTTTGTATTTACTCATTAGTGTACATGTTGTATCTATCCATTTCCCCTCCTTATATAAACTCCTTGAAGTCAGGGACTATCTCCTCCCTTCCCCTCTCCTCCCTTCCCCTCTCCTCTCTCCTCCTCCCCTCTCCTCTCTCCTCCTCCCCTCTTCACTCCCCTCCTCTCCTCTCTCCTCCCTCCCTCTCCTATCCTCCCCCCTCCTCCCATCTCCCCCCACCCCGTCCTCTCCTCTCCTCCCTTCCCCTCCCTTCTCCTCCCTACCTGTATCCTTAGTACCTAATAACATGTCTGGCATGTAATACTTGCTTAATAAATATTTGTTGAATTACATCGAATTGAGGGTCAAAGGCATATAAGAACAGGGCCTTAAAGAACAAAGCACCAACTAAATGCTAAGGAAAGGTCCAGTTGTGAATATCAAGGGAAATAAAATTAATGATTCTCCACTGGGTTAGTCATAGAGCCCATATTGCAAGAGGGTTTTTAAAAAGCCAAGGGATGGACAATTGGGGAATAACAGAGGCCCTTGTAAATGAAGCCACTGTGAAAAATCCAATACCTGGCTAAGTGGAGGCTGGGCAGATTCAGTGTATCCTAGGAGACTCAAAGACTGCACTCCTTAGGCACTGATAGCTGTTGAGAGACCTGGTGGAACTCCAGGATTGCTCAAGGATGGAAAGGACCATGGCTGGTTGTTCAAGGCCAAGATACTGCCTCTGGGAGGAAGCATGCCCACAGGTCCTGCCCTTCCCAGGACTCCTGCAGAGGGCTCAACACGTGCAGGGAGGTCAGTAAACATTTTTAGATCAAAGAATCACAGAATGTCCAAGTTCGAAATTACCTTGGAGGCCATGTAGTCTAGTCCAAATCAGACTGAGACTCCCTTTCTCACCATAACCGACAAGTAGCCTTTCAGCTTTGCCCTAGAAGCCTCTCAAGATGGGGACCCCAATATTTCCCTTTGAGGACAGCTCTCATTGATAGCAAGGGTTTTCTGACCAAGCATGCATTGGCCTCTACAGCATCCACCGGCTCCTCCTGATGCTACTCTCTGGGGACAAGTGGAAAGAGTTTAATCCCTTTTCCCTATAGCACTTCCTCAATCTTGAATCAAATCTTCACTTCCTCCCTCTGCCCCTGCCATCTTCTTTTTTCTAAGAGTAATATCTCTTAGATCTTCTCACGTACTCTCATGCAGTGTGGTACTGAGATCTTTATCCTGGTTCCCCATTTTCGGACACTTTTCAGATTGGCAATGTTTTACATAAGATGCGACATCTCCAACTGAAGATTGTCCCCTAGATGTGGTTTGAGCACAGTGGAACTATTATCTCCTGTGCCCTGGAGACAATATCCTTCTTAATGCTGTCTGTGTTTTCTTTAGCTTTTCCCACTGTTTTATCACACTATTAAGTTAGCTCATATGGGATTTTAGGCCGTTAAGATCCAAAGTCTTCCTTTAGATGGACTTCTAGCTAACCCTGCCTCCCTCATGAGCTCATGAAGATAAAGTTTTGAACCCAAGTCTAAGACTCAACCCACCCCTTTCTTGCTAATGATCAAGCTCAGAAGGCCGTGCTGATGCAACGAACCCACATGTGTTGATAGGTTTGGGAGAAGATCATAAAGACAGGCAGCCTTTACTGTCTGACTGACAGAGAATCCCAGAGTTCTGAGGGTCTCTGTCTTATCCTTACCTTGGATGATTGAAGAGCTGTGACAAATGAAATATCATTTACTGGGAGCAAGGAGGCATTAGTAGAAGGTTTATTGAGTCAAGCATAGGTAGAAGTTTTATTGAGTCAGGCATTAGTAGAAGGCTTACCCACAGCAATGAAACCATGGATCCTTTGAAGTAGGGAAGAAAGCATAATGCAGAGGGAATGGTCCTGGACTTGGAGGCAAAAGGCTTTTTCAAATCCAGGCTTTTCTACTTTCTGTCTGTGTGACCTTGAGTAAGTACTTTGACATTTTACATCTCAATTTTAAGAGATACCCATGTTCAAATCCTTCCCCAGATGCTGACGAGCAGTGTGATCTGGACAAGTCATTTCTGCCTCTCAAACTCAGTTTCCTTATCTATAGAATGAGGACAGTAATAGCGCCTATATCACAGGACTTGCATCCTCTGACCCTGGCCCATGCTTTCTTGTCACTGTGCTTTTGTTTACATTATCACCTAGGATTGCTCTCATTGCCACTTCTATATCTATTAAATTCCTACCAATTCTTTAAAATCCAAACCAATGTTTCCCTGGCGAAGTCCCCCCCCTTATGCTGGGGTTGCTAATGACGCCCCACTCTCCCCAACTTTGAACTTGCCATAGCACTTTTCTTGTACTTATGGTATATTATTTCATGTTATAGTCATTTGTCTCATATATAACTCATATGTAACTGTGAGACTATAAGCTCCAAGAGGTGAGGGAATGTCTTATCTAAATTCTTATCTACATCTTAGAGGTGATTAGAAGGTATAATGGATATAGTGCTGGACATGGTGTTGGGAAAACCTGATTTTGAATCTTATCACAGACACCTATTAGCTGTAAGAGCCTGGGCAAGTCCCTTCATCTGTCTCTCAGACTCAGTCTTGCTGTTCAGTCATTTCAGTCATGTTCAACTCTTTGTGACTGCATTTGAATTTTTCTTGGCAAAGACACTGGAGCGGTTTGTCATTTTCTTCTCTAGCTAATTTTACAGTTGAGGAAACCGAGGCAAACAGAGTTAAGTGATTTGCCCACAGTCACACAGTTAGGAAGTGTCTGAAGCTAGATTTGAACTCAGGAGGAGGAGTCTTCCTGACTCTGGGCTCAGCAGTCTATCCAAAGCACTTACTTACCTATAGCCTCAGTTCACTCATTTATAGAATAGGCAATAATATTAGTGTCTTCTTCGTGGTATTTTTGTGAGGATCAAATGAGATAATATATGGAAAGCTCTTTGCAAACATTAAAGTCATATATATTAACTATTCTTCTTCTTCTTATTATTATTATCATTAACCTCACCTAGAGCCTATCACAGTACTCCGCTTAAAATAGAAACTTCATACACTACTGAATATAAATTCTGTATGTATATATGTCATATATATGGTATCAGTAGTAACGAATCAATAATAGTTCAAAGTAGTCACTTAATAAATATATTAAATATAAATTATATATATATAGCATCAATAATAGCTAGAATTTTTCAAGTGTGTTTTCTGTTTATAATAATTATTGGTATTTATGTAAATACTCCAATGTTTGCAAAGCACTCTGCCTACATTTTCTCATTTGTATGTTATAACAACCCCATAAGATAGATGTTCTCCAGGTCTTATAATCCCCATTTTAAAGAGGAGGAGGCCAAGGATCAGGGAGTCACTTCCCCATGCTCATACAACCAGTAAATGTTGGAGGCAGGATCTGAATCCATTATTTACAATACCAAATACCAGTGCTCTATCCATTGTACCATACCGCCCCTTCTAAGGAACATTGAGTGACACAGAACATCGAACACTTTTTGATGTTATTTCCTGCCCCAAATTAGAGTTTCGGTTTCCTGGAAATCTTTTGAATCCAGCCACCATTTTGCAGTCGACCACTAAGTTACTGCATTGGAATCCTGTCTTGTTGAAATTGAGATGCAAAATATATAACCCAAGGAAGAGAAAATCTGTTTGCCTTTTAGGTGGTATTGATAGACTAGCTAGATCTTTCCACCAGCACTTCTCCCTGCTTCCTTCTGTAGACTCCCCTTCTCTTTTCCCCCTCCCTTCGTCCTCAGGGTGTTTTCTTGATGAGTCGAAGACTTCTCTGCTGAAGACTTGGCATTGTCAGAGTAGTTGAAAAGTTTTCTTCTTGCAGCAGATGGTCTGCCATCGGTGTTTGGAAGTTGCATGTGCTTTCCCCAAGTTTGGAAGCCAGCTAAAGCATCCCTCATGAATGTTTGCTTCTCATTGGAAGCTCTGGCTATTCTGTGAGACTTCAGACTTTCCTTTTGATTGGCATGGCCACCCAGAATTTGGTACTCTCATCTAGCATTGAGTATTTAGGATTCCAAAAGGTTGTTAGTGGCCAGTGTTTTTTCACAAACATTTTTTTCATGTACTATGTTGTGCTCCAAATCTTGAAAACACAGATGGTGCTGGTTACCTCCTTTTCCCTTCTCCTTCCCTTGTCTATTGTTTGTGCTAGGTGTCCAAGAGAAATCTGCCATTTTGGAATGCTCTTCTGAGCCCTGGGCTCTGGAAACTGTGTTCTTTGGCCTCTGTTGGGTGAAATACAGAATACAGAAGACAGTGAGTGCTTTGGATATGAAGTCAAGGAACACGCATTGGTCAAATCCCTTCCCCACTCTGGGCTTCAGTTTCCTCATCAGGAAAACAAAGGGACTGGACTAGATTAGTACCCTTCCAGCTCTAAATCTGTGAGCCTATGAAATACTTTTGTGATGTAAATTGTGATATGGAGGAAGCCTGGTGTAATAGGGAAAAAAGTCCTGGTCTTTGTATCAGAAAATCCAGGTTCTAATTTCAGCCCTGTTACTTTTTAGCTAAGTAATTGGCCTTCACTTTCCTCATCTGTGAAATGAAGAGGTCTAAGTAAGACTGGACTAGATGGTCTCTAAGGCCACTCCCAGCACTAAAGTCTACAACCCTGGGCTTCCCAGTGTCCTTTCTGTTTCCAAAGTGCTGTACTTTTCTTCTCCATTGGGTCTCAACTCCACCATGTTGAGCATCACTACGAATTTTAGATGTTATTGGAAGTTATATTGTTACTCTAGATGAGTTTTACTTCGAGGGAGGCACATATCAGAGGACTACTAAAGCCATCCCTTGCTCATGTTTCCTCTCTCTCTCTCTCTCTCTCTCTCTCTCTCTCTCTCTCTCTCTCTCATTTTCTGCTATCTTCCCAGCCTGCGACCTGATGACACAGGGTATCCTGGCCTTAGTTACGTCCACAGGCTGTGCATCTGCCAATGCCCTGCAGTCGCTCACGGATGCCATGCACATCCCGCACCTCTTCGTCCAACGTAACCCAGGGGGCTCCCCCCGAACAGCATGCCACCTGAACCCCAGCCCAGAAGGGGAGGAGTACACACTGGCTTCACGTCCACCCGTTCGCCTGAATGATGTCATGCTCAAGCTGGTCACGGAGCTACGGTGGCAGAAATTCATTGTGTTCTATGACAGCGATTATGGTGAGTGTATGGGCTATCTTTCCTCTCCTTTCATGTGCTGGTTGGACAAGCATTCAAGAGATCCACCAGTGATGCTCCTTTTCTCCACCCCAAGGATTTTACCTTCATTGCCAACCCTGCTCTACATCATAGCAAACATATTGACTTTGAACCTCTTCTTTTTCAGTCCATTCACCCTTTGGGATCAAGTAGGAAGAAAGAAAGCCAGGAAGCTAGATAATAAGTAAACTGTTACTTTATTCCTTAGGTAATGAAGAACTCATTTTCTCTATTTGTTAAGGGAATATAGCTGAGAAATTAAAACTTAAAGTAACCTCTCCAGATAGGCAGCAAAATTACTAGAGAAAAAAAATCACCTGCTGAGAGCTCACATTTGGCTTATCTTTGCATTTTTAAAAACAAAACGTTAATTAGCTGCTTTTGTGGAATGGCATGGATTTGTGTCAGTAGGCAGTGGAGGAAAGCATAGACCCTGTAGTCATCAGCTTATCAAGGCATCCTCATGATGAAACATTTGTTTTTCAAATTTTTTTTGCTTTTGATTTTTTCCCATGGCCTTGTTTCTTGCTTTTGCCCAACATTTTTTTTAAACTAGTCTAGATACATAGGAAAAATAGTATTATGTAGTAGAAAGCTGACCTTGGAGCAAGGAGGACCTCAGTTCACATATGGCCACTGATACGTACTGGATGTGGAACTCTGGGCAGGTCTCAGTGCTCAGGACAACCTGTCAGTTCTTTAGACAACTCTTTTCTTTTTTAATGAATAGAAATCTATTTTCTCTCCCTCTCTCTCCCAACACAAAACAAATTACATCATTGACTATGTGTGTATACACATATATACACATACCTATATTCACATATATATTAATGTATATATGTATGAATGTGTTTATACACACACACACACATGTTGTAGAGATTATACTGGACTGCATTTGTAGACGGAGTTTCTTTACCTGATAGCTCCCAGTTCCAATGAAATCAGAAGTACAGATCTATCCATTTCCCAGTCCCTCCCCTTTCTCCATGGACCTCTATCCAGGTTCATAGGCCTGGAGTGATTTTTCTGGGGTGGGAAGTATGTGGCTTGGGACTTGATGTGTTGAGCCCCTGAGTATAATCAAGGGCTCTATTCCAGTGACTGAGATGTCAGGCCCACCCCAAGTCCCCTGAGTGTGTGTCAGTCTTGCTGTAAGCAAGGTTCTAACCATTGATTGTCAGAAAGCTGCCTTAGAGTAAAGTCACCATTGGCTTTTTGTTCAGTGACAAGAATATCATTTTTAACAACAGAGCTTTAGCCCTTGAGGTGAAAGCAGACAAGCGTTTGCTAACAGAGCTGAAGAGGTACCAGTGTCATATGCCACAGGAGTGTCCTTTGCAAAGATAAAGGACCTCTTTGTAAATGACATGTTTCTACATCAAAATTCATCCTAGGCTGTTGAGCCTTACCAAATGCTATTCATCTCAGATATGGAATGGGAAATGCTATAGGTCAGTATGGATGTATCACCAGGGACTGACCCTTGTCAGTGAGGGCATTGGGAAGAGACCAGAAATTGGTGTGGACACAAGAGGCAAATTAATGTTTATTAGTATAATTGTGGAACAGGCATTTGTATTAGTGTGGATGTGGAAAAGTGATTGCTGCTCTTTGGTGTTTACGTGGGACATGGGTTGGCATGGTAACCATACCTTAATTCGACTAAATCAGAAATTGATTCTGCTTTATAGATTTACTCCACCTTTAAATGTTGGGGTGTAGATGATTGTTGTTGTCAGTATAGTGTACACCAGGCTCCAAGTACCTGGAGACAGCCAGAGGGCAAAGAAAATCTGTAGAGATACTTTTATTTGGTTGATGCTGAAAGGCAGCTTAGACAGGAAATTGGCTTCATCTATCCTGGCAGCAGGAGCTTGACCCTAAGAACCAGCAGATAAGTCCTGTACATAGCTAGCTATCACTTGCAAACTAGATGCTAGTTTTCCCATACACCATCTCCCTCCATTATCCTAGTGTCTTCCCTGTGTGGATTATCTCCAACTTAACATGTATGTGTTTGTACATAATTTTTTGCATGTCTTCTCCCCCATTAGATTGTGAGCTCCTTGAGAGTAGAGACTGGTGTGTTGCTTTTTTTTTTAAACTTTCTTTTTATCCTCAGCCCTTAGCACAGTACCTGGCACATAGATGCTTAATGAATGCTGCTTGATCAATTATTTATTGTTCAGAAGACTTCTTCAGAGTGCCATAGCTCTGTATGTTTTGGCTAAAAGTATTTACAGATCTGGTGTGCTTTAGAACTCTATCCCTGTGATGTTTGATGGTTTAGCACCTCATTCCCCATATTAGACTGTATGTTTCTACTGAATGAATAGGAGTAGCTAACTGGTTCATTGTTTTTTCTGCATGTCCTCGACAGTACGGTTCTTTTGTGGGCCCTCACTAGTATACATATATTATTGGGAACTGAAAGGAAATCAGATACAGCCCTGGGACAGTTGAGATACCAGCAGGTATCTTGCCTGTGATGAAGGCTGTATCACAAGTAAGTCTATTCCTAGGCTCTTCTCTGAGAACTGGCACACTAGTAGAGTTAGTAGACCAGAACTATAGGAGAAATACCCGCCATCATTGTTGTCTTGAAAGATAGTTATCTAGAGCCTGCACTGTACTCTTTAAATTCCTTTAGTCATTTTTAGCTATTATAGTTTGCTTCCTCGAAGTATAATTTATTCTCTGATGTATTTAACTAAGAAAAGAAATAAGCATGTGTTTGCATATGCCTAAATGCTCTGCTTTCCTAAGACCCATAATGTTGTCCTAATCTCTTGAGCAAATATTCCATTTCAAGCCTTCCAGGAAGGATTGCAAGAGCAAACAGTCACTGTGCTGAAATAAAGACGAACTGGTGACAAAGGAAAGGAAGGGAACCATGACCAATCTGGAATAATCCTTTTCCCAGATCCATTTCCTTTCCTTCTCCTTGGGGTCCTTAGCTCACAGGTGCGGGAGGCCAAGTAATAGCCAAAAGACCCTTGATGCGTTTCTCTTTGTACGCTGGCCTTCCTCTGAGAATCCTTCAGGCATGATGCCTACCCAGAGTAAACTTGGGGCTGCAAGCATAGGCTTTCACAAAGGCATGCTGAGGTTAGGGCTGTCTGGGCTCACAGCCAAGCTTGATACAGTTGAGTGAGTTGAGGGGTGAAGGTAGGGGGCATAGCTAGTATACAAAAGACTGCTGTCCTAGGTGGAGTCTTGGTAGAAAATCAACTGTCATTCATTGATGCCTGATGCTGCTGCTATAGAATGTCAGGGATTTGTGTCAATGGGTAATAGAGGATAGCGTAGACCCTCTAGCCACCTGCTCACAGGGGCAATCCTGTAATGCTGCCTCTTTTTAAAAAATATTTATTGCCTTTGACTCTTTCCCTTCTGGACAATATGCTTACCCCTTTCATTCCACTACTTTGGACCACTATTCTCATTTCTAATTCATAGCTTTGTGCAGCTCTGTGGATATAAGCATGTCTTTAACTCAACTTGCTTGGGCCATGACCTCCTCTTCCCCTTCCTTCCCTCCCCCTCCATTCTTCCGCTCTCTTTTGGCCTGTTAATCATTAGCATGTGTTAGACTATCTCTGTGAGGGACAAGGGCATGACAAGAGGCAAGAGTTGGACCACAGTATGCTTCCTCATCTTTTTTCCCCTTCTCTCCCTTTATCTCTCTCTCCCCCATTAGGTGACTTTCATAGTCAGCAAGTCATGGGATTGTAGAAACATTGACTTGTAGTCAACTCTTATAGTCCACTTATGGTCTTATAAGTCCACTCTTCCCATTTCATAGATGAAGAAACTGAGGAACAGAGAGCTTGTGATTCGCCTAACGTTACATAGGTAGTAAGCAACAGGACCAGAATTCAAACTCCAATTCTAGCATGCTGTCCACCAATTTGTGTTATAGATCACAGTGGCTCTTTGGTGTTAAGAAACAGATGAAGGGTCAAACTAGACAAGGAATGTGGTTATAACTTATCACATGAAGGCTGCATGGGTTCATGGAAGTTATTTATGTTGGGCCATATTCTGCTTGACCCTGCCCTCTGAACTGGTCCAAATCTCCAGCAACTCAGGAACGTCCTGTGCCAGTGCAGACCTTTTAGCCTTCATGGAAAGTATCATCTGATGGGTTTCATTTATATAGCTTTTTCAAGCTTGCGATGCACTTTACATATATTATCTCATTTGATCCTCATAACAACCCTGCATGGTAGGCACTGTTATTATCTCCATTTTGCTGAAGCTGAGGTTAAATGACTATTTGCCCATGATCACAGCTAGTAAATGTTGGAGGCAAGATTTGAATCTGGGTCTTTTTGACTCCAAGAACGAGACTCCATTAGGCTACCTTGCTGCCTAATTATACAGATTAGCAATCTAAAAATTAGATCCTCTTATTTTACCTATTAGAAAACTGAGGTCTAGGGAGGTCAAGGGACTTGTCCAGGGTTCTACAGACATGACAGACATTATTCCTCACTCTTGGGCTTCTCTTTAGTTGCTAAGGGTTGGGATTGGTTGAGGATCATTGGCAGATGGTCTCTATGAATTCAGGGACATGAAGATGTTGACCTGACTTCTAGTCTCTTTCCTCCTCCTCTCCCATATCCTTGGTATCTTTCTCTAAAAGTCCTTACCACAAGCAGGGGTTAATCAAAAAGTCTTTTGGTGCCCAAGCAGATCTATGAGTGAGTGTGGCCAGGACAGCAAAGAGCAGGATCAAATAATGATGGTGGCTGGCAAATTCTAGTGATTGGAAGTTCTTTATGGCCTTGGGTTGAGACAGAATTCCAACTCTGTACCATCTGTATGACCTTAGGAAAGTCATGTGACTTCTCTGGGCCTTGTTTTCCTATAATAGATGATCTTGAAGATCTCTGCCAGGTCTAAATCCTATGATTGTAAAGATATAACTCCTTCAAAAGACTTACATATAA